GCCCTGCTTGGTGGCTTGTTGGTGTGAAACACCTCGAGATCCTCTGGACTTTGGGTAAAGTTTTCATATTGTGCTACAACAGACGTCACATTTCTGAGACTATGAGCGCAATCACTGTGAGACAGGCTATTAATATCTTTGTTTATGTCGATCGACCGAAGACGGAAAGTAACGTAAGCATTACCCTGAGGAAAAGTTATTATCTAATCGTATATTATTAGGTGTTTTTCAAACTGAGAAAACGTTTAATGAGGGAATTTTTAAAAAAATGTTGGAGATTAAACTACCAATATAATAGTCAGAGATCAACTGATGTATTGTTGTTATTAATGAAGAAGACTGATAACAGATACTCAGCACCGATATGCAATAAAAATGTAAATCTTGGTGTCAAAATTTAAAATAACACAAACTCCAACACAAAACTTTGTTGAAATGCCTTTGTTTGTTGTTTGCTATGGGTTTAATTCAAATACCTTTCAATATATCTACAGTGTTTTTGATGCTTTTAGTCATAATAAGTAAGCAGTTAGATATTGGAGAGGCGGCTGTATCTGAGTCAAATGGAGCAGTTTTTAAATTAGGTTTGTCTAATTGGGAATTGGTTAAAAAATTGCAAAATTGTTGAAAATCACATCAATCAACTGCTGATAACAGTAAAGATTAGCTTCACCACAACCAACTACAACACTGGGATGCTGCTTATATTGTAATCATGGTGAACACGATAAACTGGGGAATTCTGCATTGCTCAACACATTGCATTTTACTGATAGTTATTTACTCTAGTAACATTCTGAATGCATGAGTTGTACTTTAGTGTTTTACTGTTTAACATATGCAGTAGATAAAAGTACTCAAAATGCTCTTATATTGAAGGATATTCTGAGCACTGACAGTAGGACCTAAAATATAATTTGGTCAAGTAGCTGGTAGTTGGTTTAGAATAAGATGATCGTCTATTTTCTGTCAGTGTCAACCAGCTCGTTTGTCTGATGGATTATGTTTTTGCACCAGCAGTGAGTTGTTTTATATTTATACCTCGATCACAGTAATGTGAAGCTTATTTGTTTCAAATGACACTGTCCTACTGTACATTATTAACAAGAAGAGGTCGTAATCAGTGTTGCAACACAAGATTTATTCAGAGCAAGAGATGCCAACACCAGCATGATAAAAATTGTACAAACTTCACAAGTCAAATTAAAATATCACGTAGCAACTCGTGACCTTAAACATACAGCAAAAATATCAACGAAAACCCATGCCATGTGGTAAGAAAACTGTTGTCGAAAGTTTGCGAGTAACAGAGAAAAAGGGGTAAAAGGAGAGAAAACGAATGTTGTATAAAAACCCCTTATCAGTGCACTGCTGAAAAGAAACTAACAGTTTCATAAACTGATGATTTCACAAATATTCATATGGATTTCTTTTGCATTCTAGCATGTCACATGTTAGTGTTGAGATTCTCTATGTAAATAGTTACAGTTTAGCTTTTACATCTGATATTACAATATCTAGTCTATTGACTGTCTTTAAGTGGCAGAATTGTGCTTTAATTCCCATTTCCTTTGTTATCAGTAAGAATAACTGACTAAATAAAAATACAAGCTGTCAGTCTATCTAATGCAGTAGTTTACTGGCAGGAAGCTGCAGACGCAAAGCTCTGGATAGAGATGTAAAGTCAGGGAATGACACTTTGCAGTAAATGTCCAAAGAAGAAACATCTTTCAAGGAAAACTCCCCCCATTTGCAGTTTGTTTTGTTTTGTGGAACTTTGCAATTTGAGAGGTTTCAAGGCTTCCCAACTAACATTCTGCATGTCTTTCATATCATGTAGCCACAATTATTAAAAACCTGTCTGACATATTCCATATATGTGGAAGTTTGAGATTGCTACTTGAATTTAAAGGGTCAGTTCGCCCAAATTACAAATGGAAATATCTGTACACCATCTATAGCGATGCTGCATATCATCACTCATTTTTGTCTCCACCTGAATATAGTTAAAAGAAATGTAGTTTGTGTTATGCTTCAAATATTTCTCAAGAAAAGAATGATACACAACGTCCGATCAGTTTTGAAACTAATGCTGGCTTCACTGAGTGGATCCAATATCTGATAGTTGTTGCTCAACTACAGTAAATGGTCTGTTATGAATTTTGTTCTAAATAAAGTGAGGTTCAAACAGGAAGGACAGGCCATATACAGTTTGTAGCACCATAGCAATCCAATCCCATGTTGCCTCACGTAAAAATGTCCCCCAGTAAGTTTCACGTCAAGAGGGAGTTTTTTTCCTTTCCTAAATCTGATCAGCTAATTTTTTGAGCTGACTGCAGTGCTTTTGTACAGCCTTCAGAATTGTTTCACCTTTATTAAAACAGCTGGATAAAACTAACAGAAATGCCATTTTTCCCACAAGGGTTTTCACCTTTTTCTCCAACCTTCTTCTGCTACGGTTTAATGGCACCAACTGTTCATCTCAATGAGCTGAACTGCTAATATTCTACCGACTGCATTTCAATGAGCATCTATTGACATTAACATCATGGATTTAGCTGCAAAGCCAGAACACCACAGCACCACCGCTGCAGCCAAATGAAGAAGGAGCCCATTAGCTTGTAGGATTTGTTGATTTGCAGCAAAAAAGGTGCTGTTTAAAGGTGCCAATACTGCTAAACTAAAACTAATAGAGGCATAAAATGAACAGAAAAAGACAAATCGCAGGTATTTGTACGACAGTTACGATTGTGAAGAACCTCAGTCCAGCGTTATACTGCTGTTTATATTGCTCAACTCCACGTGAATGAACCTTTTGCATCACTTTAACTATTATTAAGTTGCAAAGATGGAGAAGTTGGTAATTCCAGATTTTTTCCCCCAACTAGACATTCCCGTGAAAAAATGTATTTTGATAATATCGTCAATGGTATTCAACCTTGTGATATAATGCTATGAAAGTTAGAATTTTTTAGCTTTCAAATCATGTTTTTTTCCATTAACTCAACGGATGGCTAATCCCAACTTCTCTTATTGGTGGGGTTGCACAGAACCTATTTATCACTGTCACAATAACGCTGGCTGTGCATGAATTAAAATGGGATTTTTATGGAATTACTCCTCCACTTTTAGCCACTCCATTGACACATAGTGGTAAAATTTCACTTTTGATAAATATAATTAGCATTTCATCATTTATTTTTTTGCAACAGTGCATTCATGTGTTAAAGCACAACTGCATACTGAAGAAGAAACCCGAAAAAGTGACGTTTCAGACAGAAGTTGGTCAGTGTGGTTCAGTATTTTAGGCCTTTAAAAAGAGAACACAACTGTGGCGTGGGGGAGATCCACAGTGTGAGGCGATCGGAGGGGGAGTTTTCCTTCAAGTAACACATCAGCTCAGTAAAATTTACTCCAGGTTGATTTCAAACAGGCATCGCCAGCACAAAGTCTTGTCGAAGTCACAGTTTCCACAAACTCGCTGTACAGTTTTTGCTTCATTTTACCACGTGATAATACTTTAACATACTCCAATAAAGTGCATGCATGATCGACGGTGTTCAGAAAACATACTCCATCAGTACTGTGATTTCAGACCGAATGTCATCATAAGGCCCATTCAGAGCAAATACTCAGTCGGCAAATTCAGTGCACAGACATCGCGTTACGACTGCTGGCTCCAGTTTTCATTCATCTTTTCAATAACAAAGATAATTCTTTTAAAAAAGCGGTGCTTGGTCATCATGTCGTCTGGCATCATGTCCCACTGTGGCTCAGACAATAAGATGCATGATTGGAAAGACGTTTTCTACAGAACGAGTGCAATATACAATGACGAATGGGGACGTTTGACCCTGTAAGTCCAGCGGAGCCGTCAGCCTTTAGAAAGAAAAGTCGTATCTACAGATCCTTTTGCCTGCTAAGTGCCTCTTAATCGACAATAAAAACATCAAAACATGGAAACAAAGGTGTCCCTGTGCAAAGTCGAACATGACAGAACCAAAGTCCTTTCACCCGTGTCAGATTCCTAAAACATGATTGTAGTAAAAGGTTTATACAAAACGCAATACATTTATAGTTAGTAAAAAGATCTATCAGCTCTTTGCTAGTTTTATTCATAAGAAATTGCATATACCCAAACATTTTCTCATATAGATTGCATCCCATATCTAAAGAAACGATTTAATATTATCATACCAATATTGCTGACACGCTGTCCTATTAGCTAGTTGATGATTTAAAATAAATTCACACGAGCAGATTGTCTCCTACGTTTTCTGTAGCCATTGTTCTTCGCACTTCGTTCTTTGCATGAACAAAGAAAAAGCAGAACAGGACAGTTTGAAATGAAACAACTCCGAAGGGGGATGATGGGATTTGCACCAGAAAGTTTCCGTGTCATGATGTTTGAAATCTTCTTGTTGCTTACAGCATTGGTTCTTCTCATCATTTTTAGCTAAAGATTTACAGTAAGGTTAGTGTCCACTTTGAGACATTAAAAAGAATAAAAAATAATAAAAAAAAAAATCAGTGAACAACTTCCAGTTTTACAGCTCGTGAGAAAAGCCTTTCAGAAATGATAGCGCTTCGTGTTCCACTCGCCGCTCTGCTCCCTGTTAAACCCGTGACGCCCAGTTTTTTGATGTATGTAAATCGCATTAAAATAAGAAATGATTCAAGCTTACAATAAATAAATACATACATATACACTAGAATGTGCATACATTAGCAGCTATAAACAGTACATCACATTATATTAGGTCATATGAAAATGTACAAAACGTGAATGCTTGTTTAAAACGTTGTTTTTCAAAGCAAGGCAACAACAATCAACATAATAAAAAAGAGACCCATGGAGTTGAGAGCATAACCGCAGAAGAAATAAAAGAACTATGGTAGATTACAGCAGCAAAAAACAACCCATCCCCTCTTTTTCACCTTTTTTTTTTTTTCCCTTTGTTGTTTTTGCTTTGCATTTGCTATTTCGGCCTCAGACAGGGCTAGACCTGGATGCCCTGAACGGCCTGTTTGATGTTCTCCAGCAGCGCCTTGTTCTCCGGGCTCTGGTACTGGTCCTGGTGGGTGTACATGTCTGTCAATGTACTCACATAAGTGTCAAAGTTCTGTTCATTCATTGGTTCCTGTGAGGGGAAAGAGACCCATGAAGAAACATACAATCAGGCCGATTAGAGGTGGCACGCAGGAGTGCACAGGCAGTCGGTGTATTTTCTGTGAAACATCGTGGGAAAGGTTTGGAAGACAGGCGGGCAGCAGGGGAGGAAGGGGACACCGTCGGGAAAGCATGGCTCACAATTTCACTACTTCCTTTTGACTAAATTTTTAAAAATATTCTACATCAGCCTATCTAGGAAATGCAACTCCAAACCATGCAAAAACCAGGAGAGGGATGGTTAGCTGATGGGTAGATGGAAGGTTAATGTTTAGCATATGGAGACAAAATCAGGATGTTAAAAACTAATGGGAAGTTAATGGGCGGATGAAAGAGACACCACTGGAGATTCAGCTGAGTCGACTGGGAGTTTTAGTTGTTGAGGTATTTCTCAGAGTTGGAGCAGCTTTGGCTTCAGAAAAAAGCTTTATTGGTTGGGTTAAACATCCGTTGTCTTTCAATCAGATATGAACTTTAAGGTTGTGATTCCTGTTGGTTAGCGTCAGGTGTTGGGTTTTCAGCACAGTTTCCTTTAGGAATGTACATAATTATTTACTGATGTTTAATGACCTCAATCATTTAATATTCATAACTATCTTTGCTGTTTCGTTTGCACCTTGCAGTCATTGCATCATATTAACTCAACCAATCATATTTTTTCTGATTCCAAATCAGCCACACATCCAGGATCGTGCAACTTCATGTAGACTGCTAAACAAATTCGTCATGTTTTCACTCGTCATGGTGTGAATCTAATTTGCCAGAACTAACCATCTTTTTAGCATTACAGTTAGGGGTGGGCAATGTGGCCAAAAGATCATGAGAGATCTTTTGAACAAGTATGTAACTGCTAGCAGCACTTTGACATGTATTGTTTTCATCGATCCCAGCTTGTTAAGAAACTGGCTTCAGAGTGCAGGGTCCGCCACTGGAAGGCTCCCCTGGAGCAGACAGCTTGAACCCCTGACCTTCTGATGAGTAACCCAGAGCCTCGACCACTGAGCCACCACTACTGAAGCAGAAATGAGATCCACAGTTTGAATCATAACTCTCCAACAGACTTAGTTAAAGTCGTGATTAGTTGAGCATATGGTTGCCTGGATACGAAGCCTGTCACTGCAACTCAAGGATAAAGGTTCAACTCATGAATCTCTGCATCCTCTTTGTGCTTAGATTTCTTTCTGGAAGTTCTGGATTGAGGTGGTCGTCCATACCTGTGCCACTTTAACACTTGTTTTGGAAGTCCAGACACCGGTAATCCCATCTCATGCCTCCCTATCTTCAGGTTGGTCAGATTACTATTGTGGTGGTTGTTGATGCGCTTTAGCTGCCTTTCCAGTGAGTCTCTCATCACATGGATGGACTCCAACTCCATCAACGTGAATACTGGCAGCAGTAGTCGGCTGTCTCATCACTGGCGATCTTTACGGCGTCCTTGTTCTGCTGTACTACCTCAGCGAGCTTGGCATAGTGGTACATGAACCAGATCTCCACCAGATACAGGTTCTAGTTGGAGTGGCCCTCCTTCTAGACCAAGACAGTAAAGATGGAGTTCATCTGTGGGACAAGAGACTCACTGGAGAGGCAGCGGAGTGACATCAAGGACCGTCACGACAGACCTGGCAAACCTGAAGTCAGTGAAATGAGAGGAGACCAGTACGCGGTCAGGACAACTTGTTGCTAACTGGTCAGCAGCAAGTAAACTTTTAAAATGAAACACTGACATTTAGCACCATTAATGACGTTATCTGTATACCTTTGATAAGTAGATCACGGGCAAAATCGTGGACAGTCTACTATCGTCACATCGCCCACCCCTCATTTTAGTGGCAGAAGTTAATTCTGACACCATCTAATGGGATTAAACTCTGTTTAATGATAGCTTTAGCTTCTCCAATATGCTTTTTGTCATTGCAGGGCAAAGCTTTAAAAGGCAACAGATGGTAATAGTCTAGAACTGTCCTCTGGTAGATTGCTAGTAATGTGACTATTAACATGCCTGGGTTGTATTCTGCAGTATAAATGGATAGCTGTGATGCGCCACAGTGAGCTAAAGGAGTTATAGGAGGGGGGATGACAGTGCAGAAGAGAAGGATAATTGGATAAAGGATAAATGGATCTCTTACTCTGGGAGGCATCTGTAAACAGCAGTTATGCTTTACTGGGGCCTCTTTCTGTGGCAGCGGTCTCTACAGGAGAGGGTGTACAGAGAAGTCTATTAGCCCGCTAGACACACAGCGGCCATCACAAGGCTTCATTAGGCTACACGAGGGGACAAAAAAAAAACAAAAAAAAAACAACGTCCGCTTTGACAAGGCATTTCCCCTAAAGCTCTGTTCACACAGCAGCTGAAAGTTTACAGTTTCTGAACAGAGAAAAGTGAAAAAAAAACACTAATTGCATATCATGACTATAAATAATGGACAACTGTTAGAACAGATGTCAATGCCTTTAATTTGGCATCAACTGGAAATGAACCAGACTGAAACATAAATGGATGTGACGTCGTTTGGGATTTCTGACTTAGAACTTTTAGTACAGACATACAGAAATCTTATGTACAGATTAATTATATCTCACAGTGGATCTGAACAGTTAGACAAAGAAATAAAATATAGCCAAAGATTTGGATCTGTAAATGAAGTCCCGCATTGTGAACAAAGCTTTAGGTTCTGCTTCGTATATTTCCATTCAATTCCTTGTTAAGACGGACATTTTTCTTACACTTGATATGAAGCGGTCCTGCTCATTAAAGGAAGAAGGAAAGAAAGCTGAGAGTCCAGTTATCAAGCACCTCGGGTTTGTACCGGTTTAAGAGAGATTATCCAATTAGCCCCAGTCTTCTTCCAACACTGAGACAACATGACGTCAAAACAGCCACGAGCACTTCACTCAAACCCAACCAAAAAAAAAAAACAACGGGGCCGTTTCTTTATGTGAAAATCTGTGAGGCGTTGTAAAGCACAGAAGAAGCACAGCATGAACTGCTGGGAAAAAAAAGAAGGTGGCGAACAGAAAGAAGCAGATGAAGAAAAACCTGAGTGTCGCTACAGAAACAGACTTTTACACGTCCCTGCGTTAAAATTGTGAGCAGATGTTCGCTGATCTCAGGCGAGTTCAAATCTTTATCGTCCCACAAAAACATTTTAGCACATTAACTATGAAACAGACAAACATCCAATAGAAGCTCCAAACACCCTCATAAGTAAAACTGAACAAAATACAATAATAAGAAAGTTTACATTATTTCAAGTTTCTGCTGTAGTAAAGGATTTTAGTCTTAGCTTGTGTGGACTCTAATGACTTCTGTTATCTTTAAGGATATTAGAATAAACAATGGTAAAATGGAGACACATTTCTAGCCCTTTGGAAAGTTCCAATTTTGCCACTAGACACACTGAAAAAACATTCATTTGCAGTAATTACAATATTTCTAGGAAAATGGTCAGATTGGGAGAAGACATGCCAATTTTAGATTTTACTGCAGTTGCTCTCGATAAATGGTTTTGTTTCATCATTTATGTTTGACTTCGGGTGAGCCATTATCTACCAAATAACACTAAATGTACTTTAAAAATGCTGCTCTGGAAAATCATTCTTTATATGTCTTTAAAGAACTCATAGTGCCAGTTAAATATAAGAGATAAGTTGACGAACATTATCCTGAAGCTATCCTGATGAGTCTAAAAATATATGAAAGTATGGCTTTCTGAGCTTGTAATGTTTTTATAGTAAAGGTTCATTGTTTTAAGCGCAACACCGTACACATATTCTTCTACACAGCTGTCATTTTGGGCTGGTTTGGGATTCTTTTCTTACCATGTGTGGCAGCTGGATGTTAGCTAAGCTGTTGATGAGCGACTGGCTGAGGTTGGCCAGCTCATGCAGCAGGGAGTCGTTCTGCTGCTCGATCACCTTGTTCTCCTCCTCGATGGACTTCAGGTTGGTCTCCATGGTGGTTATCTGCCAGCCAAGAAAAAGTGATTATCGGGCAATATGTTATAGCCTCTATTAAATTGTAATTGAAGAGAAACGATCGCAGCGAGAGCTCAAACAGAGGTTGTCTGAGAAGAAAAATCTTATGAGTAAATTAGGATCAATTCTAAAATAAAAACCCAAACAAATAATGTTTTTTTAATGTACATTCTCCATCAGTTCAACAACAGGGCCGTGGCATTGCTCACTGCTCTGCAGATCAGAGTTTCTAGTAATAACAGAAATACTGTTTATGTTTGCAAATTAACTCCATTTGCTTCTACTTTGAGTCGTGAGCATCAGGCATCATTTTACTTATAGAAATCCTTAATAAATATCTGGTTCTCTGCAGTTAAATTACATTCAGATAATCCATTAAGCTGTTATTGTAATTTTAAGAGCTTTTATGAATAAGACGAGATCATCTGCAAATAATCAAGCTGACATCAAGATACCTGGAATGTTTAAGCCATTTTCTCTGTCTTTCTAAAAAACCTCATTATAATTGCACTAAAATGTTAATGGTGGGTCTCCCTGCCTCCCTTCTCTTAGTGATTTAACTTTGTTTTGTTTTTGTTTTCATAGCAAATGTAAAGATGAATTGATACAAGCACTATGTACTGATAATCATTTTTGGTGTTTTGTTCTCGTATCATACCCATTTACTTGTAATAATGCTACAGTGAACACACAGCAGCCATCTTACTTGTGTCCTCAGTTTGATCATGTCGGACTCCACTTGATTGTTTGACTCATTCAGATCTTTGATTTCTTCATCCAGCTGTTTGATTTCTTCATCGTTTTCGATGCCTGAAACATAAAACATGTTTAATAGTACGTTTCACATTCCTATACCAAGCAACAGTCATAAAACGTCATTTTTTCTCCCCTTTTCAATTCAACATCTCATCTCCTTTGAAATGTATTATGAATATTAAATATGAATCCATCAAGCACATTAGATATTTTTTTAGACTCAGTTTTAATATTTCATAAAATTCTATTGTTCTGTTTTCTGACCTTTGCTTGCTCTTTGCTTGATTGTCAGCATCTCCACACCACTCATCCTGGCCTTCTTCATGGCTGATGTGGCTCGGGGACAACCGGAGAGACTGCAATAAAATAATCACATATCAACCAAATATTGACTACTACAAGTTTCCAATCTATGCTAGCTGATTTTCATGGATATGAAGTGACACTATTGTTTACCTAAAATTGGAAAATGGTCAGCAGGATTAGCAGCATATAAAGTAGGAGGGGAGAAATCCACATGGTCCTTTTACAAATAATTTTTCTGATATTTAGCCCTAAAATGTTACTTTTTCATTAGTTGCAGTCACAGACTATATGTAAAGATGGTCATAGTGGCAGTGATGTCACCCACTGGTTTGTAGTTTACCATTCTGAAGCCATCACCATCCTGGATTTTTGAAATCGGGCAAAACAACTCAGGGGTGGGTTCGACTGAAAACCTATGCATGACGATACTGTACTGAACTGTCAATCACAAGGTAGCCCTGCCCTAAAACATACCCTCGTTTATTGTCTATTTTACTGTAAAGGGGACCATAATTTACAAAGTGAACATCATTTTGTTTGGAAGGAGATTTGAAACTACTGACTGAGACCTTAGACTAGAAAATGTTTACTGAGGTATCAAATCCAGTGAGACATAGGGTTATCTTGTCCTAGACTTCTATACAGTCTGACTTATTTTCACAACCAAAGGAGTTGCCCCCTGCTGGCTGTTAGAAAGAATGCAAGTGTAGGGTACATGTTGGCTTTGCTTTTCAGACCTGGAGGTTACATGCATTTTTTTATATACAGACTATGTTTGGAGCTTAAGAGCAGGTTCAGGATTCACTGTTTTAAAACAATAATTAAAATAAAGCGGATAAAGCCTGTGCAAGGTGGCTCGGTGGCTAGCACCGTCGCCTTGCAGCGAGAAGATCCCCGGTTCGTGTCCCAGTTAGGGGGCCCGGGATCTTTCTGCGTTGAGTTTGCATGTTCTCCCCGTGCAGCGTGGGTTCTCTCCGGGTTCTCCGGCTTCCTCCCACACAGTCCAAAAACATGTTGAGGTTAATTGGTGATTCTAAATCATCCATAGGTGTGAATGTGAGTGTGCTTGGTTGTCTGTCTCTAAGTGTAGCCCTGTGACAGACTGCAGCCTACCTTCGGTGGGTCAGGAAGCTCCCACTGACGTGTCCTGAGCCATCGCAGCCTGGGGTCGGACAGGTCATGCCATCTGTCTTTCCAGATTTCCAGACAAACTGCGAGCCGTTGACGTAGCTGTCCTTCTGTCTCTTTGCAGCCAGGGGGCAGCCTGACGCGCTGCGATGAGAAGCGTACTTCCCCGTCACATGGCCCTGTCCATCACAGCCCGGGACTGGACACCTGAGAGGAAGAACGAACATGGAGGTCTCTCTGTGTCAGCTTTTACAGGTACAAACATCATTATCCCAGACTGCAGCAGACCCGTGTGCTGTCTGTTGTATGAAGTGCTTTAGATGAAGTAAAAACCACTCTGGCTGCCATGTTGCTCATCCTGTGGTTGTGTCGGCCTCAGCAGACATGGATACAGTTTTACATTTAGTGATGACAGTGTAGATGTTAGCTTGTCAGATAACTGCACACAGCGTCTGTTTAGCCAACCGCCACTGTCTTGTTGCTGTCACATCAGTGTGGCTGTAACTAACAATTATTCACAATAACAATTAACCACCCAAATATGTTCTTAATTTTCTACTTAGCTGTTTGCAATACTGAAAGCTGGGGGGGGGAAGTCAAGTTTACTATTATGTAAGATTTAGAAAAGCCTCAAATCCTCACATTTTTGAACCATCAAATTTTTGTCGGCATGTTTTTCTTCTGATCAATTTACCAAATCATTGTTGCAGCTTTGCACTTGTCTTCTATCTAGCTAAGCTTTGGCTCAAGTTAATGAAGATGTTTAAATCAACATAAATTTCAGAATGATTTCAAGGATTTTTAAAGCAGATTTTGCACTATGTTGTACTTTGTTTATCTGTTTAGTTTGTACTGCATTCAAACCAGGAGAGGAAAAATAAAAAGAGTTGGAAAATCTCTATCGCCGTTCCACTAATCTAATAGATTTTCATGTTTTTTCTTGCACTTTTTTTTTTTTAACTGTTTGACTGATTGTGTAAATGACAGGATTGAAATTTTGTTCTATTCTGATCCACCTAGAGAATATTCAGTGTCAGTTTCCAGTAGCTAGCCTACTAGTCACACAAGATACTGCATTATTTTTACTGTTATATTATTTTTAGGACGTAAAATCATCCTAGAAATACTATATAGCTCTTCTTTTTAATCTAAATAAGTTATAATAAAGGAAATACTGGAGTTTATTTATTTATAACTCCCAGCTTTGCAGCAATTTGCAGGAGTTTTTGTGGAAATATGACGTGTCCACAACATCACTGAGCACTCACACAAACAATTGTATGGTCCAGGCTTGCAATAGCAACACCAAGCAAATATAATTTACCTTCATCACAGGCAACTAAATGTTGATTATGATGGATCATCTGTCTGCTGCAAGTGTTAGGTCTCTGCAAGCTGACTGTAGCTGGAATGAACTGCAGCTGAGGCTGTGTGGAGGGAAGTCAATCACAAAACTGAAAATGATGGACTGATGCAAGGTGCATAGTTCAGCTTGGAGTTACTGGACTAAAACTGTCCTTTTAAAAGTATCCACAGCACACTTTAGGGCTGTGTTGATGGAGGGAGGGAGGGAGGGCTCTGAGTCACCACTCACCTCCTCACCTGCATCCCCCTCCCCCTCCCTTCCGAGACCTCCAGGTCACAGCAGTGCAGCAAAGAGCAGGACAAACACCGCTCGCTCTGCAGATGACACCTCCTCAGCTTCCAGACGCTCAGCTCTGCCTCCTGCATCCCTAAACGCCCTTCGCAGTGACATTTGGGCTGATTAGAATGAGCCGAGCGTCCGCAGGCCGCTCCCCAGCCGAGCTCAGGTTAAGCTTAATTATGATTCCACTGTTAATGATGATGGTGGATGGAACAGAGGTGGCAGCAACAGCTGGCTGCAGACTGACACCAGCTGAACTTTAGATTATTCACAAGGTCGTATTGGCTTAACATTATGGCTGCGCTTTAACACAAATGTCAAACGCTCACTAGTGCTAACCTTTACTGGACTTGGCCTGCTGGGAGCGGGAGGTGAAGTGCAGGACTGACCACAGCTCTGTGCTAAAATATTCTTTGCTAAAGTTAGAAAGGTCAGCGTACACAGGCAGCATTCTAAGAGAGAGAAGACAGATGAATGTGTCATTAACACGACAGCGGCTTCACTGTAAAGAGAACCCAGACATGTTTTGACACATAAAAACACCCTGATTTGAATAATATTTTGTGTCTGAAAAGGTTTTTAATCAAGGAAAGGTTAACAAACCACTTGTACATTTTTGAAAGCACATTACTTATCCCTCATTGAAACATCTAGGATCCATATTGTTCATTTCAAAAGTTGAACTGCTAGAAACAGTCTCTTGCTGCACTGGAAAAACCACTTCCAGCGTCTGAGTGCTGGAAGTTTCCACATTACACATGCGTACGTTTCACACTGGGCCATGATTGTAACCAGTTTTATCAGCTGTGCTTGTGTTTAGACGTGATGATTTAGGTTGAGCTTAGAAAACTTTCCCTCCTCCGCCAGTGTCGTGAAAAACAGCCTTCTAGTGTCAAACTAGTGCGCATACTTCTTTGGCAATCTCACAACTCAGTTCTGCTTCTTGGTGTCACACGTGGGTTCAGAGTTGATCCGATTCAAAACAATTCTTGAGTCAATAAAAAGAGACAGGAGCACAATGTTTCAGACTCCTGTCCTTTGATTCAGAATCTTAGCAGATAAGAATTCTTATTGTGAAGCTCAAACACCCATGTGAGTTAATAAGAATAACACATAACTAATTTGGCGGAGGCTTAAGCATATTATTTAAACCAGTACAGCCTTTATAAATATA